GGTGGGGCTGGGCGGGGCGGGGATGAGTAGACGGATGATGTGAGGAACGGCAGAAGAAGCTACTGCGGACGTCAAGAAGTGAGCTATGACTGCGCGTAACCGGACACGGGCAGTTACTCACCCTCTTCTTGTTCACGTCATTGTCAAGGTCATGTGCGGGCATTAAAAACCCCCATTTTTACCGTGATTTTGATAGCGCAGTAGTTTGTCCAGTGCATTTTGATAAGTTCTTGAAAGTGAGAGAAGACAACATCGTTGTGACTCTCATTGGGTGCTTTTTGGGGGGGGGGGGGGGGTAAGCTTTTCACGCTTAAGTGAGAAATGTAAAGGGTCTAACAATGGTGCCCTGCCAAAATACCCGCATGGTAAATACATAGTTGTAACGCTTACATGACAGCCTTCGTGTTATTTGCGGGTGCTTTAGTTTGGTCTGCCGCCTCTTCTTCTCCTCAGTGTTACCATTACCCCAATATGTCGTTTAAGGAAATTGAATATGACTGTCAGTTTCCTGGGGGGGGGGGGGTGGTAGTTGTTAGCTCCCCAACTTCGTGACGCTGTGGACCAGTTGATGCATTTAAGTCTACAACGAAGATTTCTTAATGAGGTGCTGTTTGAGCGTGGTCAGCTAATGATAGCACGACAGAGAGATCCGGGATCCGCCTGTGTTGCTTGCATGCAGCGCACACTTGGTTTTATTTGCCCAGCCGATAACGGCCAATGTACCGTTATCTACTCCGCACCAACAGTACAACGTCTGCGTGTCCGTGAACATAGGCTTGATGTACAGGGCACCATAAATAGACGCTTGGCAACTTTTTTAAAAAAGTGTTTGTTTCTGTTGGTATAACTTGTTGGGTTAACACCCAGCCCCCACCCACCCCACTTTTTTCCTTGAGAGTTTCAGGATTTATGTTCAGTCGCACTTGTTTGGGCACGAAAAATGACCAAAGATGGAGATGCTATTTTAGAACAAGGGGGTTTAAATACACGTTCTAATGTGGATAGCTGATCGGCTCATTTGCGTAGTTTCCCTTTTCTCTTTCTTTTGGATGTTTGCATAGTGTCCTAATTTGTCCTTGGCCTGGCTTTATTGTACTTTAATGGCGACCTTTTGTAAACTACAAGTCAGCGACATGTTTGGTTACTCTTGTGATTGACTCATTCATCTTTTTGTTGGAACGCACGAGTTAAGATGGTTGATTGAGGGATTTTACCACTCGCTGAGTGAATGTAGCCGCTGCTGACGCTCCTTTTCCTGGCTCATCGTGGACAAATTAGTGTCGTTCGACTCCCCCCTCGTGCGCGCTATACAAATCACACTATGTTTGTTAGAGCAAGGTAAACAGGAGCTTGAAACGACGGACATCTTTGTTTTGACCCTGTGCACGGAGGTCAGTCCGGGAGCCAGCAGTTTGAAAAGCGCGTGGAGTCAGTCAACTTCTGACGTCACGATTCTGTCGTTTCAGACCGGGCTATTTGTCCCACAGCCCCAAAAACACGCCGAGTCGGCCCCGGCTCTCGAGGCTTTTCCGGTCAGAGAGACGCCGTGACGCGATCTTGTTATTTTGATGAGCACGTTGCTCGTTGTCGATTTTTTTAAAAGGGTAAAAGTAAAGTATTTAAGTGGGTGGTTGGCGTGTGCTCTGGTGTGGTTTGCCCCTTCTTTTCTATCAAACATCTATCGTCCTTATCTCTCCTCTTTTTTGTGTATGTTACCCCCTTGTTACACATCTATTCTTCGGCACTTATATGACCTTATTGTGTTTCAAGTGCCGTAAGACACTTACTAAAACTAAAGTATTTAACCCACAGACACTCTGTGACCCCTGCGGTGACCCTCGGATGTTGCGTATTGTGGTGAGCAGTTCGAAATTGGTTGAGGGGGAGGGGGGTATACTTTACGTGCTGCATGAAAAGCAATGTTTAGATGTTTAATCCTCTCCCCCCCAAAAAAACCCCCACCAAACAAACCCCAACAACAACAAAATACAACAACAACAAACAAACAAAAACAAAACAAAAAACAAACAAACAACAAAAAACAAAAAAACCAATGAACAAACCCCCTCCCCCAAAACAAACAAAATAAACAACAACAAACAAACTAACAAAAAACAAAGACAAAGACAAAAGCCAAATCAACGAAAAACACCCCCGAAAAAGAAGGTAACAGACAAACCATAATAAGGAAAAAAAAAAAAAGAATGAAAGAGCTCAATCCACTACTGTGATGGCTAAGTAAAATGTAAATCCGGAATTAACGGTAGGACGCGTTACTCATACACTTATGTGAGGATGAGCGGTTTTGAGGGTCTCCTGTGTGCTAAGTGTTGACGTCACCGCTCCCGCCTTGGTGTGTTGGAGACACCCTGGGGTTACGTCACTCCAATACACTCTCTCCACAACACTGAACCCCTCCCCCCCCCCACACACACAAAAAAAACCCACAACAAAACCCCCCCCCCAACAAAAAACAACAACGAAAAACAAACAAAAAACAAAACAAAACATAGGGAAAAAAAACAACTCTGTGCAATACGACCGAGAGAGACTTGTCGTTGATGACTAATACATGTTGTTCAACATAATAAGTCCTTTTATAGTATTTCACGCCCCTTCGGCAGAGGGTGAGTGAGTGTGGCGTCGGTAGCTTAGTAGTGGTTAGGCTACCGGACTCGTAATCGTGAGATTGTGGGTTCGGGGGTTCGAGCCTCAGCTCGTCCGACGTTGTGTCCTTTGGAAAGGCACTTTACACGAACTTCCCACTTGGCTCGGTCCTGTCGGAGACGGACGATAAACTAGGAGGTCCCGCCCCTTAAATAACCAAATAGTGTGGATAGGGGCGTTAAACCCATACCATTTCATTTTTGGTGAGTGAGTGGTTGATGGAAATCCTTTTCGCCCAGCCCTCGGTTTATTTGATCTTGCCAGATTGTCGTCTCCGACTTCCTTGATATAGGTTATGCTCTTGGTACTCATTTTTGTTAAAATCTGTATGCGCATACGCGCTCATTTACTAATCCATCCCACCCCCATATTCACGCACGAACACCTACACTCACACGCGCGCGTGCGCGCGCGCACACACACACACACACACACACACACACACACACACACACACACACACACGCACACACACATATTCGTGTAAGGTGCATGTAATAAGATTGCCGATAATCATGTTCGTGTCCTAATTTCACACCTCGATTTTCACCACTCTTGAAAACGCCGGGATTTTAAAAAATTGAAACCGCTGGTGTGGAATGCTGAGAAGCAGAATAAATTACGA